ATAATCGGATGTCCGGATAATCGGATGTCCGGATAATCGGATGTCCGGATAATCGGATGTCCGGATAATCGGATGTCCGGATAATCGGATGTCCGGATAATCGGATGTCCGGATAATCGGATGTCCGGATAATCGGATGTCCGGATAATCGGATGTCCGGATAATCGGATGTCCGGATAATCGGATGTCCGGATAATCGGATGTCCGGATAATCGGATGTCCGGATAATCGGATGTCCGGATAATCGGATAATCGGATGTCCGGATAATCGGATGTCCGGATAATCGGATGTCCGGATAATCGGATGTCCGGATAATCGGATGTCCGGATAATCGGATGTCCGGATAATCGGATGTCCGGATAATCGGATGTCCGGATAATCGGATGTCCGGATAATCGGATGTCCGGATAATCGGATGTCCGGATAATCGGATGTCCGGATAATCGGATGTCCGGATAATCGGATGTCCGGATAATCGGATGTCCGGATAATCGGATGTCCGGATAATCGGATGTCCGGATAATCGGATGTCCGGATAATCGGATGTCCGGATAATCGGATGTCCGGATAATCGGATGTCCGGATAATCGGATGTCCGGATAATCGGATGTCCGGATAATCGGATGTCCGGATAATCGGATGTCCGGATAATCGGATGTCCGGATAATCGGATGTCCGGATAATCGGATGTCCGGATAATCGGATGTCCGGATAATCGGATGTCCGGATAATCGGATGTCCGGATAATCGGATGTCCGGATAATCGGATGTCCGGATAATCGGATGTCCGGATAATCGGATGTCCGGATAATCGGATGTCCGGATAATCGGATGTCCGGATAATCGGATGTCCGGATAATCGGATGTCCGGATAATCGGATGTCCGGATAATCGGATGTCCGGATAATCGGATGTCCGGATAATCGGATGTCCGGATAATCGGATGTCCGGATAATCGGATGTCCGGATAATCGGATGTCCGGATAATCGGATGTCCGGATAATCGGATGTCCGGATAATCGGATGTCCGGATAATCGGATGTCCGGATAATCGGATGTCCGGATAATCGGATGTCCGGATAATCGGTTGTCCGGATAATCGGTTGTCCGGATAATCGGATGTCCGGATAATCGGATGTCCGGATAATCGGATGTCCGGATAATCGGATGTCCGGATAATCGGATGTCCGGATAATCGGATGTCCGGATAATCGGATGTCCGGATAATCCGAATTCCGGATAATTCGAATTCCGGATAATCCGAATTCCGGATAATCCGAATTCCGGATAATCCGAATTCCGGATAATCCGATTTCCGGATAATCCGAATTCCGGATAATCGGATGTCCGGATAATCCGAATTCCGGATAATCCGAAGCCTATATATTTTTTTAACTTCCCGTAGGGCAAGTTATAGTAATCGCAAAAAAATCAAAAATGAAAATTTTTTTATATCTTTACGTTTCAAAGGTTTCTGAACATTTTGGCATACCTTAGAAAAAATGGATGTATGTGTGTGTGTATGTATGTGCGGATACAAATTTTCGTCGACGATTTCGGGAACACGAATCAACCGATTTGAATAATTCAGAAAACATTCGATTCGTATTGATAAGGAGACGTGCTGATTAGTTTTTGGCGAAGGCAGGTCTAGCCGTTCCGAAGATACGGGGCAAAAAGTGCCCAAAACGGAAACTCAGTTTTTAAGAGAACGGATTTGAATAATTCAAAAAACATTTCACTTGTATTGACAAGATGAAGAATCGGTAAAATTTTCATGATGGTAGGTCTAGCGGTTTCGGAGATATGGAGGAAAAAGTAAAAAAATGAGCCATTTGGCGGTCAAAAATGATTATTAGACATATGCACATCAAATTATCAGATATTTTATAGAGATTTTAACAATCAGTATACATTTTGTTAACATTCCTATGGGTTCCGTACCAATGCTTACGCGTCAAAATAAAGAAAAAAAATTTTTTTCAAAAAAAAAAAATTAAAAAAAATTTTTTTTTTTTTAAATTTTTTTTCAAAAAAAAGTAATTTTTTGTCCAATTTATAGTTTCTCAAAAATCTTATCTTTTCAAAGTATATTTTTTTCAAAAATGGTAATCGTTTTTAAAAAAATAATAATTTTTGGTACGGGAAGTTCCAGCAATTTGCCTTAAGGCACGATGCCTTAATTGCCTTAAGACAGAATTCCACTTACAGTTAGTTTTATTGTTTGAACAGCAATCAGAACTCCTATATGTTCCATTGGTTTATTTAAACTGGAAGATTTATACACTTTCTATAGGAAATAGTATAAACCATCCAAGTCTTTTTTGGTCTTTCCACTAATTGATTACGTTTCAAGTTTTTCATATTGTTTTTGGATTCTGGATTTTGTGTATAATTGTAAATAATACTACTGAGTTTATACAAAATTTTCAAATTTTTGCGAGGAGAGATAAAAAATGAATTAAGTATTTCTTCTTTGACCTGCTTTTTGAAAAGTTTCAAGTTACATTCGATGAATTAAAGTAAATTTAATAAAAAGTATATATGTAGAGAAGGGTGAGACACAAAGGTCCAATTTGACTTTGAGCAAATATAAACTATATTGTGAAAACCATAACAATTATATCACAACAAATAACACATATCAAACGAACAATTATCTGACTACGTTCAGTAAACTGACTTCTACTTCATCATTGTAGAAATGTGCTTTTTTGACGTCTTTCAAAAATTTGTTACCTAGACCTTTTTATCCTATATGCGGGGTAACTTGTAACGGGCAGGTGGCAAAAGGTTTAAAGCCTTATTATAATTTTAAAGGTATTTTACAAAATAATTACATTTTATTTACAACGGAAGAAAATACTTTTATTATGGATTTTCAAAGATTACCGTTTATCTCCCCCAATTCAAAGAATATCGTTCTCAAATCAAGGTTGTAGCTGGCTATACATCTTTTTTCCTCTACTTTCAAATATTGTTGTTAAGCAATGCTTAACTTTACTGATTTTTGGCACATCGGTGGTGGATCTTTTTAATCCCGCTGGACCTTCATATATTACTATCTATTCTGCGATAAATTCTGGAAAATTATAACTGGAAAAATGTTATTCGACAAAATGTCCATTTGATCGATACCAAACTTAGGTTCTGAATTTAAATAACATAAATAAAAAATAATATAACCTAGAAAATATTTTATAAATACCAATGAGTATACAATTATATAAATGATATCTTTTAGAGCACCGTGTTTGAGAGAAGTGCATTTTCATATTAACATTTCAAAAAAGTTGATATTTTGAGTCTCTAATAACACTTGCGACCCATTTACTAACGTTTTTGTATATAAATAAAACTACAAACAAAACTATTTACTACAAATTTATCATGATTAAATAATATTAGCGTAAAACATCCTATTAAACGTAATTGAACATCATCTGTCAAAAGCGTTTGACATTTTACGAAATTGCCACCGTCCATTGTTTTATTTACATTACGCTTCAACAAAAATTTTCAAATTAAAAATGTAAAGTTTCTACGCGATTTTGAAATAATTTCTCACCTTTCCGACCATCTCTGGATTGGCACGAATTTTTCAAGACTAAGAATGGCCAAATCGATTCAGCCGTTTTCGAGTTTTATTCGGACATTTGAAAAAGAGCTCCATTTTTATATATAAGAAGATAATATGTAATATTTTTATTATAAGCAAGCTCAACACATGCAAAAGACGGTAAGAAAAAGAAAAAATCAAAACTATAAACATTTAATATATATCGTTGACATGAAAAACTCATTTATCCCATATAAACGCATGTAAAATGAATGGTGGTCCAGCCAGACCTTTCCGACCGTTCGAAGGTGAAAAAATATCTGACCGACGGAGGGTTACAAAAATATAGTCATCTTACTATATTATATATAGAATAGAGTATGCATAATATGAGAACCGCCAACTCTCTTCAAATTATTTTACTTGAGACACCGAATAAAAAGAAGATCATGTTGCCAGATTTTTTTATGATCGGATTTTCCTGTTTCTGCCTTTTTACTTTACCCATGCCGTCGTAGCCAGAATAAAACTATTTTCGGTGCCTGATATTTTTTGTTGTGCTCACCCCACCGTAAAACAATATTACATATTTATATTTACTTGTATTTAAATGTTTTATTTAAACAAAAGCTGAAAATATCGGTACAGGTGATGAATGATTTGGTCTAAAAACTAAAACTATGTTGGTTATACTAAATATTAAAAAAAACAGAATCAATAAAGTCTTATATATACTTGTATATGTCATTGTATACATATAAACTCATTCACTTGGTGCGGCGAGTGAGCCTGGCCTGCTGTAGTGCTACGATGGTGCTACGCCAGCTACGCCTTGCGCGGTTTCTTCAATAAGTAGTAGTAACTTCGAGGAAATTCAAGTAAATCTGCAACTATTAATATAATCTAAAAATTAAACAAAATCAAAAATTTATTTATTATTATTAATTGCCTTCTTAATGAGTCAAAATATACGAGCACTTAATGTGTCAAATGTACAGACAGTTACCTATTAAATTAATCCAAAATGAAAATAGGTGCAAATATAGTCATATCTAAAACTAAAAAAGTACTTGTTTTAGTTATATTATATAATCATATTAATTTTATGTTAAAAACTATATATTGTATAGCATGATAAAGCATTAGAAAATGTTAACTAAACCGCAAAATGTGTACAGTATTATTATTTATAGTCTAAGAATCTCCAAAATTTTCAACCAATTCAATTATCGTAAAATATTTCCGTATCTTATTATCCGTATAGTATTTTGTTTGATAATTATTGCAATGCGTACACAAAATAAGTTAAATTATTATAGCAAAGAATGTTATATTTTCTTTAATTTATATAATTTATCTAATAATTTGTGTTTATAAGCATAACTTTGTTTAAATATTTTTCTAATCTCGTATTTGCGCATGCCTTGATACGCTCCTTCCATGTACTCTCCGGGAAAAGTATATAAATATGGTAAGTTGACGGATTAAAATGAAATTCATTGGAACTACAGATCAAGGCAACATTGACAATAAATAATAATGTTACTATTAGTTTACGCATTGTGTATTTACTGGATTTGCACTTCGCCAGTGCGGTGCTATGAAAATATATCAAGTAAGTGTTTAGCTTCAAATAGAATTAATAAACTAAATATTTTAAACAATTGGTTTTTCTTTCAAAAGTTTCAAACGATTTTTACTAAATTTAAAAAAATTGATGAGTAAATTGACGAAGACAACATATAATGAATGCTGTAAGATTTTAGATCGCTTATAATTTTTTATTGTATTCAAACATGTATCAATTTTTTCTAAAGTAACCCGAATAGATCAATCATGGCTTCTGCGATTTTTATCATTTGATCTACGGGATGTCAATAAGAAAGGTGTTGGAGCCAAAAATATTTTCTAATTTAACAATTATGAATTAATTATTACATTTGTGTAATTTTAAATTGTATGTGTCTTCATCATTAAAAAAAATTAAGCCAAATATTTTCTTATTTAGCAATTATGATTTAATTATTATATTTATGTAATTTTAAATTTTACAAGTCTTCATCATTATAGAGTACAGCTTTCTAAAATTTTGAAGTATGTATATAATTTAATAATTTTATTTAAAGTAATCTTTCAAAAACATTTTACGACACTGACCCAAATGCCGGAGCTTTAAAAAAGTGTGGAGCTTTATAGAAATCTAAATAAAACCTCTAAGATTTCAATTGTTCTATTTTTGCTACAGGTTTTAGTTTAAATTAGTTTGGTCTTTTTCTATATACTAGGATGTAACACCTACTTTTCCTAACAACCTTCTACCTTCTACCTTCTAGTTCAGTAAAATTTTAAATTCGTTGACTTCTCATATAGTCATTTGATAATTTCATTGAATTTCCAATCAAATCCTGAAGACTTCAATTTTTTGCTAACATCTACGTCTGACTTCATAATAACGAAAGTATGAAGTATAAATAACATTTTTAAGCTTTTATAACCAATACCAGTTCAAAGTAGGGGTGCATGGCAACTGGCCAACTCATTTTATTCCGGGTAAAAGGACCAGGTGATAAATTTAAAAAAAAACAGCAAAAAATATATTTTTGCAATTATAAATTTAATGGGAGTTACTGAATATAGTCAAATAATTGTTTGTTTAATACGTGTTATTTCTTGTGATATAATTGGTTTGTTCTCACAACATAATTGCTCAAAGTCAAATTGGGATATTGTGCCCCACCCTATCTTATGTATAATTTTATTTTATTTTAATCACGTTTTAGTTGTAACGATTACTGGCAACTTGGTGAAACTTGGCAACGTGCCTTGAGGCGAATTGTTCCCGTATACTCTAAACGGCTAAACCCTGCCTTAGCCAAAAACTAATCCGCATATTTCATTGTCAATAGAATTCGAATGTTTTTTAAATAATCCAAATCGGTTGATCAGTGCTCTTGAAATCGGCGGCAAAAAATTGTATCCGCGCATATACACGCACGCACACACACCCATCAATTTTTTTCTAAAGTATGCCAAAATGTTCAGAAAGTCTTGAAGCGTAAAGATAAGCTAAAATTTTGATGTTCGCTTTTTTGCGATTACTATAACTTCCCTAATTGGCGGGGAAGAAGAAAATTGCAAAATGTTACTTTTAGTTACTTAATTATTATTTTCAGCAAAAGCTCATGAAATCGCATTGGATTCTTCTGGTTCTTTACACTTATTATGGGCTGTGAGACAGCAACATTTGATATACTTCGAGGTAACACCTCCTTCAGAATATCCTGATTCCTGGATAGCTGTAGGATTCTCCGATAGAGGTGACTTAACCAACGCGGATTATTGCTTTATGTGGACTGATTACAATGGAAAACTTAGAATTCAAGTAAGTTTGAATATTACATCCCTCGTTTTTTTTCATAATAATATATTTTTTATAATATTAATTAAAACTAAAAGTCAAGAAAAAGGGTTAAATATTACCATGCCTTTATTACTCACGTGTACAATTATTTGTAAAATCTCTAGTAACTTTTGACAATTTTATCTAAAGCAAATTATATATTTGACAAATTTGTTTAAAATAAATCTGAAATATTGTCTTACCTCATAGACAAGTAGTGCAACTCGGTAAAATGTAGTCAACAACATTTTTAAACTAAGCATTTTTCAAAATAGGAAAAACACATTATTAAAATAATTTTTGATAATACTTTGATTTCTAGGCGCAAATGTTTACTAATATCAGCTAAAATATATTAAAGTTTAACAACGATAGTAATTCGACTTATAGGCAATAGGAACACAAAATAGAGTTTCATTCTTATCATCTTTATGCATAATTCTAAAACACAGCATTTTATGCAATTGATATATATTATCGATTTTTTGCCGCTTAAATAATCAAACTTGCATATCTGTAATAAAATCGCAGTTTTAGTATCAATATGTGCAATAATAAATCCAAACGATGCAGTTTTGTAGTAACACTATTAACAGTTATTACGCTATAAAAGGACTAGAAATATAAATTTGAAATTCAATCAATTTTACGTCTGCAAACTCTTCTATAATATTATAAAGTTAAGAAAAATTTTGCAGTACATTAATAATAAACATATCACCTAATAATAACAAATCGTGTTGTAATCTTTTGTTTTAAATATTTCTGTATCGTTGTTAAATGCTACTGCCTTACATACATTGTAGATGAGATTTCTGAAATATTTGTTTGCAAAATCTGCACATAAATGAATTTTTGCCCACAATTAATATTCAATAGCACTCGTTTTTCTTAAGTAAAATATATTTTCAACATTGGTTCTAGATTTTTTCTAGTATAAGTTTTTAAGAATTTAAATCTATTAGTTACAAAGATACAACTGAAGATAACCAAGACCACGTTGACTATCGGTTATCGATTATTGAATTACTGAAATCAGGCTCTCATTTTAGAAAAAAAAACTTGGTCATCCACCCCAAAAAGTTCCGAGACATATGTTAAGACATATGATCTTAAAATATTTTAATTATCTTTTTCTGGCTTTTATCTGAATAAAATACTTTGTATATATTATAATATACTCGTATACAAAATTATAAATATTCCAAATTTTAAAGTAATTATTGTAAAAAATAAAAATCATAATAGGTATCAATAGATTAACAATCAATAGATGTTTTATTACCTTCAAATAACGTGATTTCATATGAATTGTATTTCATTTAATTTCAATAATATTGGATGTCACCAAAATGTATTGGTTTTTTAGAACTAAATTAAATTTTTAAATTTTCAGGACACTTGGTCAGATGAACATGGAATTTTACATGTGGACTATCAACAAGATTGTTTTCCTGTGCGAAACAGCAATGGATATATAAGATGGAAACGCCATTTGAATACTTGCGATATTCAGGATTACGATTACACCATAGATGTGAGTAAACTCAATGCATTTGTTTCAAATAATATTAAAAGAAAAATCTACTTTTATAAAACCAGAAGATAGTGTACAATATTTACGTAAAATTTAAATTAATGCAAATGTTAAGTATAAAATTTATTCTTGAGAAGTTTTATATTCTCGTTTTGATTACCATATGTTATCTTTCAATAATGACCCAAATTTTATTTTACTTCATCATTAACTTTCTGAAAGAAAAGTTTATGTCTTCGCCAAAAAATTCGATTTTTTAATTTTATATTTTCGAGCAGTTTCAAGTCATTCTGAATCGTTTGACAACAAAATTATAATAATTATGTGCATGTGACCTTTTCGACTTTTTTTGTCGACCTTTTCTCAAAAACCGCTGCACTAATTTAAAAAATTAACGCCATTTGATGAAACTCAATAAGAATTTAGATTTACAAAGTTTATAAATCTAAATTTTCTCATTAAATACTTGCCCTAAAGCAACATTCCATTTACACCTAGTTTTCAATATTAATTATCTGTGTATTCAATTACTATTTAATTTATTTTATATATTATTTAACTAATATTTTTAAGTACTGTGTTAAACAATCATACTTAGTATTTCATTATTCTAATTGGGAAGTGCGTTATGTAAGCGGTAGAGCTTTGCTGGGAATTACCGTAAAAAATTTTAAAAAAATCATTGCAATTAAAAAATGTTGCCTTAAAATAACTATTAAGAAAATAATCATTGCAACAAATAATCATTAAAACCAAAGTGACCGTAAGTTCCGGTTGGGCCGGGACAGTCCTGAATTTCACCGCATGTTCCGTTTTTTTTGGGAGCAATATTTGTCCCAGAGCAAAGATTTTTTGTTGATTGTCCCGGGTTTTCGAACAATATAGGTTAAAGTTGAATTTTCGCAATTACTGCATAATAAAACTACAACTATCCATCATATATATAACGTGTATGCTAATATAGAACAATACGTTATGAATGAAAAAATAGTATTTTTATATTAAAAGCATATATTAGAATACAAAAATTCTGATTCTTAAACAAAAAAAATAACACTTATAGTAAATAAAAAATTGCTTTACAATATTTGTTATTAGAAGCAGTGCTCAATTCGTCCTATAATATTAGTATGTACTTATATCGATTCAATAAATCCATAACCTTGTACTAAAAAAATTTTGATGAAAGATGGTTTTCTATTGTCATTGAGAAATATTATATGCACACTCAATGATGTTCAAATTATAAAATTATAATTTTATAATTATACTATTTTTTTAATAATTTTGAAAATTGCAACACTTCTTAACAAGAGAATTCAGGCAAACCTAATATAAAAAACGGTATATAAAAAATATATTAAAATTGTGTAATATAATTGTTCTCTAATTTTTCCTTTGTGGGTGAAAGAGAAGTATTTTTAATAAAGATCTTCACCCATCTACAGTTAATCGGCACCACGGAGAATTCTTACCCCGCAAATCGATCGCTAAAATTCCTCACATAACTATGCGTTCCAGCCGACTCTAACCCAATGACGTTCGTTTTATTAGATGGAATTAATATCCGCTCGGCAGAATATGAATTGGTGCCAAAAACGCATATTGATGTACCTTTTGAAGAAAATGTATTACTCGAAATATGTATGAGCGCAGAATTACTATTCAATTTCGCCGATAAAACAGATAGTTTCTACGAAAATCAGTAACAATTCTAATTATAAAGTGTTCTAAGAAAACTTCTAATATATATATATTTGTTTTTACCGTCAGTCCGTTGATCCAAGCCAATATTTATAATATTATTTTATATCGTTTCGAAATTCTTTTGAAAAGTTTCGTAAAATTGAAATATTTTGAAGTATCTTATTTTGATAAAATTAAGAAAATCTAAGAAAATGAAAAAAATGATTATATATAAAAATAAAAATTGTCAATTAGTTTAGTGACAATATTATGCAATAAACTAGATATGGTATATAGGTACATATAATTTTTTGTAGGTTCAAAAGTCCAAGATAAATAAAAAAAGAAACTAGTACAAACTTAAAAATTTAGTGAAAAAAAAAGTATACACATAGTTGAGCTACACAATCCTAAAAAAATCAGATAAATTCTCGATAATCTTATATATAAAACAAATATACATGATTTGAATTCGTACTATTTTTATTTTCCACAATGAAAAGCATGGTTAATTAATTTCTTTATTTTATTTATATGGAACCATCAGTTCAGTATATGAAACTACTATAAGTTTACGTTGAAATTGCAAATGAAAGATATGAGTATTAAAAAAAAATAAGCTTCTTATGGAGTTATTTACTTGGTGAATTAATTATTTTGATTCATAAATTGCTTCTATGTGAATATACATTCTTGATTGCGCTCAATTTAACAACTATGGCTTCACAGTATGCAATTATATTTTATTTGAAAAATATTGCGTTTGAGGTAATAGTGAAAGATAATTTACAAAGTATTAATACTATATAATAAAAATAATTTCTTGAATATTATGCATATGTTTAGTAATCGTCCAAAAGTGAATAATGAAATTTCTGCATCTTCACATTTCAGAGGTTTCTGAACATTTTGGTATTAGAAAAAATTGATGAGTGTGTATGTATGTGTGTGTGCCCACGTATGTGTCGATACAATTTTTCGTCCACGTTTTTGGGACGATGATTGAATTCTTACAAAGACAGAACCAGAGATTTCTGATGTCCAGGAAAAAAAGTTTTGAAAAATACGATTTGGCGGTCGAAAATCAGATATTTTCGACAGAATGAATCAACCGACATGAATGGGTATCACTTTTCAAGATTTTTCTAAATTTTAAAAAATTACAGTATTTTCAAATGTTAAACCTTTCCACTCGCGAATTGCAAGATTTACATGTTTTTTGCCGCTGAAGCGGCGGCATCCGAGTGGAAAGGGTTGAAAACATTTCATAATTTTTAAAACCGGCAATTTTTTTCAATTAATTCAAATGTTTTCAATATTGTTCAAAAAAATTCAAAGTTTTCAAAAAGAATCAAAATTGTTTTTCTGATTTTTTAAGAAATTCAAATTACGGCGCCGGAAGTTCCAGCAATTTGCCACGATGCCATGCACCACTAGTTTAGCTTTTATTTTAAACATATATATTATTAAAAAAATATTCTTTATAAAGTCCTTTTAACAGACCATGGTATTTTCTATTATAACCTTTTAGTAGTGATTCAAAACTATTTCGAATATCTCTTTTTAGGGTGGTACCACCCATATAGTCTGGGCCAGAGGTAGGGGTCTAATTTTAAGCCCATCAGGGATAAATGTGACTGAAGCGAAATCAACAGATCGAGGTATGGTACGCGCCCAATTGCTTAGAGCAGATGTTCCACCAGGACCACCAGCTGATGCCGAAAACTTAGAAGTGAAAGCTTCTAAAGTGAAAGTTCCTGCAGATGAAACGACGTACTGGTGCCATGTACAAAAATTACCGGCCAGTTTGACTAGGAAACATCACGTTGTGGAGGTAAAAAAAATCAATTGTAGTTTAAGCGTAATAACTGTCTGCTGATGATACATACTTTTGTGTCTGATTGACTCTAAAGTATGTATCATTCAGTTAAATGAAAATTACTTTCTAAAAAACCTTATAATATATATTTTAAATAACTTTAAGGATAAAAAAGACACTCTAATTTGATTTTTAAAAAGATACTTTAATTTAATTCATGAAAAATAGGATCTGTAACCAAATATACATATGATGATCAATATAATCACATGCAGAGAACATTGTGAAAATCATCAAAATCGGAAACAAAAAATTTTCATCCAAAATCGGAATACAAAACGTGACCCTAAGGTCATGCTATAATTTCAGTATTTTCTTATTTATTCGGCAACCGTTGAGAATAGTAATATGCAGTTTTTTTCATGTTATTCTAGCCCACAAGGCAATTCACCTGACGTCTAATTGAAGCTTCTACGCGCCCGGGAAGTCTGTGAAAAATTAAAAAAACTAACTAATTTTTCATCCATTTTTTGGGCATTTTTACTTTACTATTACTATTATAAAGATAATATTTTAGTTAAAGTTATTCAAACATATCTGCATAGGTGTATTAGTAAATACATCCGTTTTAAAGTTGTGCACCGCCAATTCTTGTTTCACAAAAGGTTTAATGAAAAGAATGGTTCATACGTTTCTTTGTGTGTTGATAATTTGTGTAACTTTACCAAATTTTGTAAGAGCTTCTTTAAGAGATATTTTGTAAGAGATTCTGTAAGATTGGCGGATATATGATCACTATTTGTCGTGCTATTAATTATATTTCTTTGATATCTACCCGTAACTGTCCACTCGAATGCCGCGTTTTGTAAAATAGATTTATCGGGGCCTAGTATAATTCTTTCGTTACCTAAAATTTCAAAAAACGTATCAACACCTATCAACATATCTACTTCGCACGGAATATTTAAGTGTGAATCCAAAAGTTTTAATCTATTAGGAAGATTTAGTTCAGCAATTTGGATTTGCTGCGCGGGTAGTAGACTCGATATTGACGTAAGCACAAAGGCATTTATATTTTTTAATTTTTTGCAAATGTACCATCTTCATTGAATATTTCTAAATTTGTAAAATTATTCGATTTTGTTGAAATTCCAACAACACCGTGAAGCTTAAGGCTCCTGGATTGAGATTTAACGCGTAATTTTTTGGAATAGCAATTTTGATATTGTATTAATTTCCGAATCTAAATCCAATATTGCTTGAATTTTAACGCGACTCCTTTATTACTTTTTGCGAACAAATTTACCGTAGGTACGAGCGCACCCCCCATCATTCCTTTTCCCTCACATTAAAATTATAATCGAAATACATCGATTGGCTTCTAAATTTTTAAAATCGGTTTATGCGTTTTTAAGCAAACATCGTTGAAAGTTCTAATTTTGACAAACGCCATAAAAACGATACCAATTTTTGCAAACTTTGACGAATTTTCAAAATTTAACTTGTCGTAGGACCGAAATATTTTAGTATGATCTATGAGACTGTGGTATCTACCGTCAAAAAAAAACATAAAAATTGTTTAAAAAATTACTACTACTTATTAATTACTACTACTTATATTAATAATAACATTTTATTACAATGAAAGGGCCCGGCCGATCATTACCAAAAATTAATCAGGTCGATTCCCAACCAATATGTTTCGAACAACTTTTAAATTTTCAGAATCGATTCAGAATTGCGGGTTAAAACGTGGACGAAATTTTTTTTACTTTTCTGCTATTTATAAAGAAACGGCTCGGCCGATCGTCGAACAAAACTGAGAAAGTTAGTCCTCATCGAGATACATCGAGTGGCTTTTAAATTTTTGAAATTGGTCCAACCGTTTTTGAGAAAACGACGATTTACGACAAAAAATCTAAACACACACACACACACACACACGATTCAGAATGGCTTAAAGCGTCGAGAAAACATAAAATTAGCGAATCGGACTTTTTGATGAAAACAAATTTCTCCTTCGGAAATTTTGTAAGGGGGGCGCTGAGTAACATTTTTTCTGGAAAGGGGGCGGTAGGTGAAATAAGTTTGGGAATCACTGCTCTAGACTATAGAAAGTTCTTTAGAAATTTGATCAGAAATTAAATGAAACTCATAACGTTATTTTGCAGTAATATAGTGATAGTAATTTCTCAAAAATATTAGCGATAACTAAAAAATGTCTAAAAAAATAATATCGGTAATTCAAAAAAAGATAAAGTAAAAATATTTGGTCTATTAATTTATAACATATCATTGATTTACAAAATAAGTATTAATTTATTATAAATTAAAATATATTAACACTTACTATTTAGTTCGAAGCCGTAATTCAGAAAGGTAACGAAGGATTGGTGCATCATATGGAAGTTTTTCACTGCGAGGCACCGCCAGATCAGGATATTCCTTTATATGTAGGACCCTGTCAAGCAGACGACAGACCTGCTGAAACACAAGTTTGCAAAAAAGTAAGTATTTCAATATAATTTCTATAAACATAGTAGTATAAAACTCTTACAACAATAATATAAAATACTTTTGGTAGTGCTAGTGCTAAAAACTAATCTTTTTCACGAAGAAAGCAAAGTTCAAGCCAGTTCTGCTGCAATTGAAATGTTGTGCCAATGATCATGATTAAGTAAAATGTTATGATAAAAAGAAAAGTTTCGACGATATTGCTTATTGGTATTTTATAAAAAATTATTTAAAAATTGTCAAAAAATAATTAAAAATATGAATATCTTTAAATTAGTCATTATAAGATTTATAACACGTTGGACATGCACAACGACAATAAAATCATCAACATACTCTTCTTCTAAACCGAATTTTAGTATCTGCATTTCGTAAATTTCAACAATTGTTTTAACAATATCGAATAAAAAATTAAATTTATTATTAAGGTCATCGCCGCGTGGGCAATGGGCGCCGGACCATTCGTTTATCCCGAAGAAGCAGGTCTCCCAATTGGTGGCAGTAATTTCAGTCTGTACGTAATGTTGGAGGTACATTATAACAACCCTGAACTCAGAGGAGGTAATTATGGTTTGACAAATATTATTGTAATTCTTACAATTAGTGATATATCTATTTTCGATGTAGATTACGTTGATAGCAGCGGCATGAGGTTATGGGTTACGACAAACATGCGACCTTTAAATGCAGCTGTTATGGAACTCGGTCTAGAATATACCGACAAAATGGCAATTCCTCCAGGTCAAAAGGAGTTTGCTTTGTCAGGATACTGCGTATCTGGTTGTACTAAAATTGTACGTAATTAGAATTAATTAATATGTTAAGGTACCGGTTTACAACCATCAGGTTTCATATCTTTCCATGAGCTTATTACAGCGTTTTACTAATTAATAATAAATTAATTATTAATAATAATAAATATAAAAAAAATGTATATGTATATATAATATTAAATGTAAAATTCTTACTTTAATTCAAGAGCTTACCTGCGGAAGGTATAACGGTGTTCGGTTCCCAATTGCATACACATCTGACCGGAGTTTGGGTGAAAACCAGGCACATCCGGAATGGACAGGAATTGCCGGAACTCAATGCTGATGCGCACTACAGTACACACTTTCAAGAAATTAGAAGACTCAAACGACTAGTGAATATTAAACCGGTACAGTTTTTTACTTACATTTACAAAATTATTCGAATGTGATACTGT